ACGTTGAAGGTAATTACTTCAGAGTTGGAATTATAAAGGGATTTTTTAATTGGGGAATACTTTTCAGCATTGTTTTTTGAGTTTTCTTACAAAGAACATGTATTTCTGTCATAATTTGAGGTGGTAGAGGAAGGCCTGGAAGTTTTCTTTCTTTGTTTTGCTTTTTAAGAAATGAAAAAATTCCAGATCAGGTCATCTCAGCTCTAGGAAAAAAAATTCCAAATAAAATCATTAATTTATGTGACAGAATTAAAGATAGAGACTTGGTGGGTTGATGGAATTTCTAGTAGTGTAGAATTTTCTAATGGCCTATCAAAGAGGCCGCTTCAAGGTTTTACTTGTACAAGCAATGAAATGAATGGAAATACAGTGTACTTGCAAAGAAGATGAGCTCAGCTCTCTCAAGAAAATTGTGCTTTGTTACTGGTGATTTGCTACTGGCAATGTGGATGGCAGGCAACTGGAACAATTCCAGAACCAGCTGGGTAAGGGTTGTGGTTGGAGTAAGCTCCAGTCTCCCCATAGTTGGACTGTTGAGGGAAGAGAGTTTGAGAGAAATGATCTCTAATCTTAGATTTCTAAATAAAAGTTGATTTTGTTATGTAAAATATTGTGGTTGTTATAAAATTTGAATAAGAAATTATATATTGAACATCAGTTTTCTTATTTTCCTTAGGTTTTTCTCTGCCCTCCTTCCAAATTCAATTATAGACACGGTGGAAGTTATCTCTGAACCTTCTCCCTGCTATTTCCTTGCCTTTCTCCTTGGAGGCAACCACACAAATTGTTTCAGTGTTCATCATTCTCATGTTTGTTTAAGAATTTTAAAACCATATTTTGCATCATTAATTGCAATAGAAAAAAAATATTATTTTCTAGACATATTTGTGGATTTTTGGATTTTGCTGTTGGTTTATCCATGCTAACAGTTGTTATAACTATACATTAACTGCTGTATAGTTTTTCATTGTGAAAGTATATCACAATGTATTTGTCCATTCTTCCATTAATGGACATTCAGATTGTGTTTTTGAAACAATGCTGCAATGAACCTTCCTGAACTTATATCCCTATCTAGGGTATGTACCGAGAAATGGAATTGTGGGGTCACAAGAAAAGTGTATCTTCAACCTAACTAGTTATATAGTTGTACCAATGTATAGGTCTCAAAATGTCTGAGACTTCTTACCAATCTTTGTAATTTTTCTTTACATTTTTGCCAGTCTAGAGAGTGTGAGATGGTTTCTGATTATCATTTATTTTTATTTTCCTGATTAACACCAGGCTAAACACCTTTTTATATGTTTATTGGCCATTTAGATTTCCTTTTCTGTTAGTAAATTTATTTATTTATTCATTTATTTTTGGTACCAGGGATTGAACCCAAGGGGTTCAATCCTACCTTGGGTTCAAATCCACTGAGCCACATTCCCAGCTCTGTTAGTAACTTTTTATATCTTTTGATCACTTTCTTTTTTTTTTTTTTTTAGACAGGGAGGGGAGAGAGAGAGAGAGAGAGAGAGAGAGAGAGAGAGAGAGAGAGAGAGAGAGAATTTTAATATTTATTTATTTTTAGTTATGGGCAGACACAACATCTTTGTTTGTATGTGGTGCTGAGGATCGAACCCGGGCCGCACACATGCCAGGCGAGCACGCTACCACTTGAGCCACATCCCCAGCCCTTGATCACTTTCTTGATGGGTTGCTAATCTTTTTCTTCTTAGTTTAATCTGAGTTTTAAACAAAAAATAAGAAAAGGAAATCCATCTATTCAACATATTTCTCTTGAGTAACAATTGGCTGTTAGATGCTATGAAAAGAAAGGAAAATGAAAAAGATGACACTCTTTCATGCAAATACTTAATTTATGCTATTTTTGATGGGAAGAGAAAATTCTTTAACATTGTATCAGCGTTGCTGTAGGGTGAAGCGGTTACTTCATTTATATTCTGTTCTTAAGATTCATATCAGACTCTCCCTAACAAAAATGCAAAATTATCTAAGTACAATTACACAGTGTTTCTCCTTAATTATCCAAATAAAGCACATATTCTGAAGTCTAGAATGAAAAAACAGAGGGGGCTGGCCATGCTTCACCAAGGTTATCTTGCACTCATTACAGAGCAACAGCCCATGTGGCATGGGCAGGGGTACACAGAATGACTAATGCACTAACAAGGCTTACGTGGACCTCCCACCCCCCTATAATCGCATTCCTTTCATTAGTTTTCACCCAGCTGGTCTGAGTTGCACAAACAAAATATTGTATGAGATTGGCCCATTGATGGTAAATTCGGAATAATTTTTGTAAAACCCTTGCCAAGTTACATACTGACCCCAGGGTCTTTAAACCAGCCAAAAAATGTTGAGCAAAAACTGAATTAAATCTATTATCACAAATTTGTGCCCCATAATCTGATGAGACTTCCAGATGTCCAGCCAGAGACCATCTGCTGAATGTCTGTGGGCACACACTCCCGGAACATGTGCATGGCTAAGGGTAGCAGAGTGACAGCTTGGAGCTCCAAAACTCTGAGCAGTTCCTGCTTGGACATAAAGCAGACAAAGAAAAAAACAAGTCGGAGGCTTTCTTTTTGAGAGTTCTTTTTTTAAATCATCATTTTCTTTCCATTTAACTGATCAGTTGCCTTATTCTGGGAGTCAAATCATGGCTTTTCCAAGTCATAATAATGAGATAGGCTCATTTCTCTCAAAGATATCAGACTGTGATTTTTTAATATTTAAAGAGGTAGCAACAAAAATATTTGGGAGTTAATTTCTAACTTAGACTTGGTCATAACGCCGAGTAGCCTGCTTTGTTTATTGCTGTCAGAACTCCCAAACAGACTGTCAGAAGGAGATATATGTGTAGGAGGATTACTGGGAAGTACTCTCAAGAACAAGATGAGTGAGGGACTAAGTAAGGGAAGTACCATCGTGCAGAGGGGAAGTTGGATTGAGAGACAATGGACAATGAGAGACAGTGGAGGCCTCCACCAGGCTTGTGGGGAGCTACGGAGCTCAGGCAGTGTGATTAATGACTGATTTTGTGTGTCAACTTGGTTACTCTGTGGTGCCCAATTTTTTGGTCAAATTTCAGGTATTGCTGTGAAGATATTTTTAAGATGTGATTAAAACTTAAACCAGTAGTTTTCAGTGAAGTCCATAATGTGAATACAATTCACTGAAGGCTTTAAGAGCATAGACTGGGGTTAACAAAGAAGAAATTCTCAAGATTGGAATGTCAGTCTTAAAATCCTGCTTCAGTTTCCAGTATACTGCTTTGTGAAATTCAGACTAAAAATTACAACTTGACTATTCACCTCTGTTTCCACTCTATTAGAAAGGAAACCCCCACAGGAACCTCCAAGAAATTCCTCTAGGATATACCCAAAGTGAGAGGTAAGAAAATTGTTTCACTACAGACATCCCCTAAACAGGAGAGAAGACAGTCCCCTAACAACTGAATCAAACTTGCCCTGTCCTCCCTATGAGGACACAGCCACGCTGAACCGTGAGCTCACCCCATCCCTTAGGCCCCATCTCCGGTAATTACGTGCTAACAATGCCATTTCTGACAAGAGAGACCTTATTCTTAGGTGTGGAGGTCTGGGGGACAGGATGGATCCCTGACACTCCCTGGTCCTACCCATCTGGGAGTCCTTTTCAATAGGTGCTGAGTTCTGTCAAGTCATTATTCTACATGAATCCATACCATCCTGTGCCTTTCTTGGCTTTTCAGTAAAGTGCATCGTATGGGGATGTTGGTGTCTATACTCTTGATGGACTTTGGTCTGTGGATTTGGGGTTTCTCTGATGGTTCTACTCTGGCAGCGGCTTTTCTGGTTTGATGGTTGGGCAATACCAACTTCATAAAATACATGGCGAGTTGTTCCCTGTGCTTCCACTTCCTGGAAATGTTTGTATACATTTGTTCTTCTTCACTCTGTGGTAGAATTCTCCAGGGCCATCATCTATAGCTGAAGATTTTTTGGGAGCTTCTTACATTAGGAACTTTATTTCCTTGATGGTCACTTGGCTTTTATGTAAGTAGCCACCGTGGGATGGTTTAAGATGGCCAGTCCCCAGAGCCCATGTGCTCATTCTCCATGACCTTTAGCAGCAGCCAGGAGGAGATTTTGGGTTCAGAGGCCTCAAGGCTTGCTGGTGATGCTCCCAGCCACTGCTGCAGGCAGGCCCACCCCCGCCCACTGGCCCGTCTCTGGCTTCCCTGCCCGTGGGATTATGGAGGTGGTGCCACAGACACTCTGGAGTCCAGTGGCTTTCCAGAGGAGTCTTCTCTAACACCTGCCACCCACCCTCTCCACACATCTCAGGGAGGGGCCTGAAGAGCAGGAAAGGTATCCTTTGTGGCCAAAGCAATGGGCTAAAACAGAATCGAGTCTACAGTGGCTCAAGGAGAGAATCTCTGCTACACGAGGTCAAGGCACTTGAGTCCCCACCTACACTGGCTGAAGGTGCAGGAGTCTCTATCTACACAGAACAGCAGAGGGAGGCCCAGTGGTCCAGGCTGTGGTCAGGACGTCTGCTGGGCTCCTGCTTTTGCCCTGAGGCCTCTCTCTGGTTTTGGTTTTTCCTTTTTAAGTTTTATCTCCTCTATTTTTCAACCTGCCCTCTTAAAACAAAGCAAAAGAAAAAAGCCTTTGGAACATCAATTTTATTATTCAATGGGTGAGAAAGAGAAATTGATGAGGAACCATCGCTGGTTTCCCAGAAGCCCGGGAGGAAGGCCAGGGCAGAGCAGGGCAGGGGAAGTGTCCCAGGGAAGAGAATCTCTGATGTCTGTGGCAGGAGGGGGCAGAGAGAGTGGTGGTGGAGGCCGACGGGCTCTTGGCTGGAGTCCACGCGGGGAGGCCCAGGCCAGTGGGCGTCCCTCAGTGCTGCAGCTGTTTCGGTGCCCTTCCTGACGGGTGCCGACTCTGAGGTCAGGCTGCTCGGAGATCGGGGTCTTCTGGCTGTCCCTTGGTCTGTGTGCCTCCTCAGGGCGCGTCCACTGGGGCCACTCTGTTTTGGAACCTAGGGCTCCTGTGGCCTCCCTGCACGGGTGCCGCTCTTCTTCGGGAGCCGGGTCCGCGGAAGCAGGGCAAGCAGCAGCACAGTTGCTGGAGGCAGGTGGCGATCCTCCTGGTGACCCCCCTCCAACCCCTGCCGCTGTTAGCGGATTGGCCTGAGGACCCCTGGGAGGAGGAGCTGGGGCCTTCTGCCACACACCCGCAGAGGACCCTCCATGGGCTGGGCCTGGGGTCTTGGGGCCCGCGGGGCACAGGGTCGCCTCGGGAGGCTGGGCTGGGAGAGGCTGTGCCCACGTGGAAGAACCGCAGAGGGATGGCGGGCATGCTGGCACTGACCGCGCCCCTGTGCCCTGCCTGCCTGGCCTCCTCTGGTGGCTGGTGCTCCCAGGGCACTGGATGGGCAGGCTCGCTGGTGCACCACTTGCTGGGGCGCAGGCCGGGGGCATCCGCGGGGCCTGGGCGAGGCCCCACCACCCTTCTGCGCACAGGCCTCGCCTGGAGCGCCCACCCCGCCGCGGCCTGGGTTCTCTGGTGCTGGAGGATAAGGTAGGTGGCCATGGCCTCATTGTATTTCCGCTGGTCCAAGGACACCCAGGTGTGGTAGGGGTCGTAACCCATGTCGAACATGATGGTCATGATGGCGGGGTCTGGGTGTCTGGGGTGTGGGTCACTGCAAGGATTGGGCGAGGGTTCCCTGCCCTGGCTCAGCCACGGGTGCCCCATTACCTGCTCCAGGGTGGCCCTCTGCCTGGGGTCCAGCCTCAGCATCTGCCGGATGAGGCTGCAGGCGTCCTGGGAAAGGTACCTGGGAAGGTGGTAGCTGGCCTGCATGAGGACGTCCTGCAGGCAGTTGGCGACTCTGGCCTTAAATGGGCGTCTCCCAGTGAGCATGAGAAACAGGGTAACCCCCAGGCTCCAGACGTCTGCAGGGGGACCCTCATATTCTTGATGCTGCACGATTTCAGGGGCACGGTATGGGACAGTGCCCCAGAAGCCGTTGAGCTTCTGCCCAGGCGTGAAGGTAGCGCCCAGGCCAAAGTCAATGAGCTTGACACTGCCGGCCCTGATGTCCACCACCACGTTGTCGGGCTTCAGGTCCAGGTGCACTATGCCCCTGTCGTGGCAGTGGCGCACGGCGCACACGATCTGCCTGAACACCGGGCGGGCTTGGTCCTCCTGCAGGCCACCGACCTCAGGGATGTAGTGCCATAGGTCTCCCCCATCTGCGTGCTCCATGACCATGTAGACGGTGCTCGGGCTCTCCATTACCTGGAAGAGCTGGATAACGTTGCGGTGATCCAGGGCCATCAACCTCTCCGATTCGGAGAGGACGGGCACGTTCCCCTGTGCCTTGGACACCACTTTCACTGCCACCTCTGCCCCTGTGAGGAGATGGCGGGCCAGTAACACATGGCTGAAGCCCCCCTCCCCAAGCTCCCTCACCACCTGGTAATGGTCGGTGAGGGCCGACTCGTAGCAGGAGCTGGGCTCCTGTGACCCTACACTATTCTCTCTACTCTGACTCTGCATCCTAAAGCCAGAACACCAATAAGGACGCTAGCTCAAACAAACAAACAAACAACAACAACAAAATAAAAATAAATAAATAAATTAAAATAAAATAACAAACCCCCCCAAAAAATAATAAAACCAACAACCAAAAGTCAGAAGGCAAAACAAAAGCAAACAAATGCCCAAATCAAAAAAACAACAGCAAAACACCACAACCACCAACCACCAAACGAGCTAACTATCTGGGAGTCCGACAGGTCACCACCAAGAGCTTCCTGTACTTAAGGACGAAAAACCCAGCTGCAGCTCCATCTTATATGGCCAATGCTTGAAAGAGCATCACAGTGGCTCCTTGTGAGGTCAGAGCAAGAGGTGACCGGGTCATGCCTGGCCATAACCCCCAGTGGTCATTTCACTCTAGGGCCTTCAGGACCTTTCCAACTTTCATAATAAGAAAGGACCCCAGTGGTCTTTTCACTTGGACTCTGATGAAAATCCATCATTACCTTGGGCTTTTAAAGGCCTCATCCGATCTACACCAACCATTCAATTCCTATTTCTTCCAACTCAGAATGACTGGTGTCAAAGGGATGGTAGCACTTCGCTCATGTGGTGATGCTAGCCCAAGAGCCTCTGTCCTCTAAGAACCTCCAGGGCTTGGTGTGAACACCTGCAGGGCTGAGAGGGAGGGACTATTGTTTATCATCCTTTCCCCACAAGGTTCTCAGCAGGTTTTGCTCTAGAAACCCTGCATCACCAAAGGCAGTGGTTTGATATGTTGAACAGGGAAAGGATAAAATACAAAAGCCCAGAATCCTAAAACCAGCAAACATGTCCTTCCAATATGGGGAAGAAATGGAGGCTTCCCAGACCCCTGGGTCCCTTCCTGTTGTTGAAACAAAGTCCCTTAGACTGTCATTTTTTTTTTAACAATAGAAATCGACTTCTCACAGTCCTGGAGACTGGGAAGTGCAAGGTCAAAGCTCCTTGTTGCTGTATGCTCACGCGATGGGAGAGGCAGAAGGTTTGGGCTCATTCTCTCAAACCCGGCTTCCTGTTTGTCCATTTTGTGTTGTGTTGACCATTGAATCAGTGCCTTGGGTATTTCAGGCATGTCCTCTGCCACTCCCCTATTTTTGTTTTTTCTTAAGACAGGGTCTCATTCAGTTGCTCAGGTTGGGCTTGTGTGGGTGATCCTCCTACCTTGGAGTCCCAAGGAGAGAGGATTAGAGCCTGTCATGGTTTGTAAGTGAGGTGCCCCTCTCCCTCATAGGCTCCTGTGCTAGTGCAGGGCTATTCAGAGGGGAAATGGTTGGATTGGGAGAGCTGGAACCTTCAGCCCATCCTAGCTTGAATGGACTGACTTGCTGGTGATTATAGGCAACAGAGTATAGATTTTAGAGTTGCACGCCCACACAGTCATGTGATTCAATCCTTGAGCTCTTTTTCACCAATCCATAGCTCTGTGTCTGTCTCTCTTTATTTATGTGTGATTCTGACTCTTCTTTTATACTCTAAAGATCTGTGTGTTATGATTTTACTATTGGGTTTTCCAGAAATACCACATAGCATTTCTTCTCATCACAGTGTCAAGAACTGTGAAGGGTTTGACATTTTACTCTACTTATAAGTTAACAAGTTAACCTAGCAAAGTTTTATGGATGTTGATAGAAGACTTGAAACTTTTTGGTCAGAGATGAATAAAAGTCAATTACCAAAGCAACAGAAATAGCAGAGTATCAGAATTTTTTATACTTTCTTCTTAGACCCAGATTTCTCTTTAAAAAAAATTTTTTTAGATGTATGGACCTTTATTTTACTCAAATATTTATATGTGGTTCTGAGAATCGAACCCAGCGCTCCGCACATGCCAAGTAAACACTCTACCATTGAGCCACTGCCCCAGCCCCTTAGGCCCAGATTTCTAAAATGTGATACAAAGAGAGTCAGATTATAAGTACTTAAACTGTGGGTTACATTACAGTACAGGAATTCTGAGTTTAGGGAACCCAAATCTTTTATAACAGGCAATAATCACACTCGCTTTTTGCTCCACAGAACATTACAATTCTCTATCTTTCATGACTACTAGAACACCTGTCTGCTGCTCTGGAGGTAGACACTATCTCTATATTCCCAGCTATGCAAACAACATTTATATGCTAGTTCAGAACAAGGGGTAGATGGTGCTTCACTTATGAGACCTGAAAAACACAATGACTCATGGAGAATTGTTTCTCAAAACAAGATAAATCTAGCATATGGTCTGCCAGACCATAATGCCATAAATCTAGCATTATGGTCCAAATTGCAGAGCATCTTGCAGCAGAACCTGGGCTGAATGCAGAGCTCTTTCCTGCTCTGGGCTCTGAGAAAGCTAGCAGCCTTCCTTGTCATTTGGTAAATTAATTGGGTAATATCAAAAGTGTAGAATAAGTTTCATCTAGAACACTCCCCAAACCATGGGACTTCTTTTTGAAGGAGGATGTACAAGAGGTATACCCTGGAGGGAATTTTCCCATAAACTCTAGATTACTGGACTCTCATAAAATTCATGTATGGGTTGGAGTAATGAATCGTCACTGGGTTAATGTTCCAATTTTTGGAGTACGTGGATGTTACCAAAGCTTCCAACATACTTCCTAATTAAGCTTTAAGCAAATTTTTGTAAATAAAGTTTTATTGGAACACATAGTCATTCTCATTCATTTACATATCATTATGACTACTTTTGTGCTACAATGGAAGGATTGAGCAGTTGTGGGAAACCACAGGGCCCACAAAACTTTTACCTTGGGCCCTTTATAGAAAAATTTTGCTGACCCCTGCTACAGAGAAAAGTCACCCCAATAATGTGGGTTGTTTGCTTACTGCTGCATTCCTCTTTGCTTTGTGAAAGGGTTTTATCTTGTCCTTTACATGGACAGATGCTAGGGTGGCTGATCTCTGTAGCAGGTGTCAGCAAAATTTTCTATATAAATATTCAATCTTATACAGCCTGATCTTTAGTATATCTACTTCTCTCTTGCTTTGGATTCCCTTCCTCTACCATTTGCCATGACAATATGAATTACCACTTTCTCCAAGCTTTCAGGAGTTATCCATGTGACAAGTGACTTGTGAAAGTTATTGACACCATAGCTGTATGTCAGTACTATCTTCCAGTCTTGCTAGGGAGCCAATAACAGAATATGCCACCATATCTATAAATTCTCCTTCCTTATAAGCAATTTTCCCTTCCCACTTTGACCCAGCATCTTCAAAATCCTGTTCCAAGTGCCCTTCTTCATGATGGTACATGTTGGCTATTCCTTCTGCTTCTTTAGTGAATAGGTCATTTTCTCCCTCAACAGGCTTAGCATTTATTTCTTCCACTAGGTTATTATTTTTTTTTTTTTGTCCACGTTGTCATACGATTTTGGTCTGAGGGCCAGGTTGGGGGGGTGTCCTTGCTAGGAAAGGCACATGGGTTTTGCAAGGTAGAGTGTTCTGTCATCATTTCTGCACAGGGAGAGTATGGTTGCTTTTAACAGGGAGGGTGGGTCATATCTGTAGTCCTGTGTGGTTCAGGTAAATCTGAGATTTTAGATTTCTTGAGTATATGGACTAAATAGCCTCACATCAAGTCTTGGGGTACCACTGCTTCTCAACCAGGCTCTGGCTTAGTGTCATAGAATTTTTGTGTTGTAAATTCAACCTCCTCTGGAGTTTCTTTGCTATTATACTTACTGAGTCTGATCCTTAGCCTTGTTTTTCCTGACTGCAGGAAATGACAATCACTTAATAAGCTGCCAAGGATAGACCCTTTAACTTCCACAATTCACTTGAGTTGGTGGTTAATCACCCTCAACTTTTCATGTTCTGTCCAGCTCATCAGTAGGCTTACAACCTTCAACAGCCACCTCATATCCTGGTAATCATGTTTGTCCTTTTCCTAATGATAAATGCCTAATGTATGGCATTCACAAATGCAATTTCTCCCACTAAACTCCTATCCCTTACCATAGGGAAATTTTTTAACAATTGCACTGCTATAGAATGCCAAGGACTATCAATACTCCACCTACCACCAAGACTGGGGTTCTCACTGCCAGCCAGCTAGAGTGTGAGCTAGCTTCAAAATCCCATTTTAGAGTTTGATTCTTAGGAACACTCTTGGTACTAACTGACTTAGGTTGGGTCCTCAGGAAACAAACTTTTGAGATGGAGATTTCCTTTGAGAGGTCTTTTGGAGAGTGCTCTCAGGCAGATACCTGGAAGAGGGAGGGACACAAATCAGGCAGAGGTTGAAGGTAAATTGTAATGCAGTCATGATAGAGACCTCAGCTAATCCTGCAGGGAACTCTGGAGTTGGAGTGTCTCTTCAGAATTATCCCAAACTGAGGCCAGGTGGACAGGGCTGCAGACACCTTGAACTGATTGGCAATTTGAGTGTGTGTGGCATTCATAACCTTTGGTGAGGCAGTTTCCTTTAAGCAAGGCCACTTTCCTGAGAGAGACACAGCTAGGGATCATTACTGTCACTTCTGGCAGCTGGAGAATAAGTGGCTCAGTCCTGCAGGGGATCTGGGTAGAGCATGGCTGCATCCACTGCAATCCTTTAATTATTAAATGAATGCAGAGGCCTTGTGGGCAATGGTCTGATTTTTGAAGCTTATCTTGAGAGCAATGGAATGTCATTACACAATATTAGCAAGGGAATATCATAATTAGACTTGCATATCCAAAAGATCAGTTTGGTTACAGTGTGATGAAAATGGATTGCAGATCTGTTGGGATCTAGTCAAGAAATCAGAAACCATGCCAGTCATTTTTACTGTAAGAATTTAATACAGGGAGCTGTTTATACAGGTAATAGATGACTAATGAGCCAATACAAGTAATGCAGATATAGTAACTCAAGAGACACTACCACTCCTAAGGTTGGGGGAACAAACAAAAAAGATTGGTCTTATAAGAACCTAGAAGTTGTTGGCTTCACAGAGCTTGGATTCCAACATCTGAAAAAGACACCCTCA